GACTGATTTGTTATCAATCATTTTATAATTATTCCATCTGGTCACTAGAAACTTCTTACTTGTTGCATCTTCATTCATATATCTTGCTTCTAACTTATCCCACAATTCTTTTGTGGTAGACTCATGAACATAAGTATCAAAAAGGGAATCAGACATACCATTTAAGATGCAGCCCCTGCAGACATAATCATCATTCTCCCACTTTTTCCTTTTCCTTGTATCTTGCAAAGTTTCATTCTCATTTTCCTTTGGTCAAGCATCAGTGAGAACATAAACGATGTTGAGAGTTGTGAGAAGGATGTGCATCTTGCATTGCCATCGAATAAAGTTGCCCCCATCAAAGTGATCTAACTTCTGGAAATTAGTAGCCATCTCACGCAAAGTTGCAGCCATAATTGTAGAACAGAAAAAAAAATTAGCCTAAAGATTGTTGGAAAAATAGGGTAGAAAATTTGCAAATGCCTTCAAGGCATGTTGCAAATGCCACTTTCCTTTAGGCTAATTTCACCCCCACCAGATCTGATATGCAAAAGGAGTAACGCGAAATGCCCGTAGGATACAATGAAGCACCTTGTTGATCTTGCTTTTGCACTAGCAAGATCAACCACTGAACCGTCCTTTGGAAAGTGACAAAAAAATAGCTTTTGTACAAGGATTTCTGCAGCAATCGAAGTGCAAAAAGGGGCTGTTTTATTTTGATAATAGTAGGGATTTGTTTTTGGGTTCAAGAGATAAAGAAGAAGAAGAGATAACTTCATATTTATAGAGGCAAGATGTCTATTGTGAACAGACGCTCCTTTTCAGTTATTATCAGTTTATTAACGGATAATAACTGAGTTATCATGAAATTTATCCATTGGAAATTTTTCCAAAATTCATTTGGTTTGATTTGAACTCCAAATGACGTGTTTCCTTGCCTTCCAAAGTTATCTACTCTCTTCAGAAACTTATCTGAATTTTATCTCTTATTTTGACGTAAATGATTCGAATCAGAAAAATGTGATTCGAACCAAAATCGTAAATTTTTGGATTTTGGTTTTACGTAAATTATTCGAACCATATAATTATGGTTCAAACCAAAGTTACACTTTCTCAAATGCATTCTGTGCAATTGCTTCAAACCAACTTTTTGTGACCCGACAGAGGGGCTAAACAGTTTAATGTCATCGGTAGTGGATAAAGAGAGGTATAAAGGAGTGGGCATTGGGAGTGGAGATGCGATGGTCACACACCTTCAATTCGCGGATGACACAATCTTCTTTGGGGATGCAACGGAAGACAATATTAGGGTGATCAAATGCATTATGAGAACATTC